TCCGCATTCGGACACGCTGTGAAGCGAGGCCGTTGGAATTGCAGAACTCTTTGAAATCATCATAAAACGTGGAAAGTGCGAAGGTGGGTGCTTACATTGTCTGTCAGCAGGGAGAGATGCTCTGTGATGCGCGTGCATTGATGCTCTGGGACCACTCTCAGATGAACAAAATATCATACGGTCGTGTGTCCAAGGTTGTGGGAGGAGAAGAAGTCGAAGCGTGGTCATGGTAGCCAGAAAAGATGCGGCGGGAGCTAAATGTTAGTCTCCTCCGCTCCCCGTCTCCAACGCGCCTGAGCTCACCAGCACGACTCCCACCTTCACCTTGGCCGGCCACCAACGCCCCTATCCCCCACATAAATAGCGCCAAACATGGAATCCCCAGCCTCGGACCTCTCAGACTACGAGTCTGACGACTTCCCCGACAACGTCAAAGGCCGACCGCGCAGCATGGAAGACACCCCGGACCACGACCTCCAGCGCCCGACGAAGCGTCTGCGCCTTAACCACCGCGCGCCCTCGTCGCCGCCGCCTCACAATGTCGTCCCGCCGCCCGAGGAGGCCTATCTCTCCGAAGACACGGATGGATCGGTCCCTGCGTCGCCAACCCACCACCCGGGCATGTCGCAGGAGTTCGACGACTCGGGCCAGGACCAGGTGACGGTGTGCAAGTGGGAGGGCTGCGAGGCCGGCGATCTGGACAACATGGACATGCTGGTCAACCATCTGCACGAAGACCATATCGGGACGCGACAGAAGAAGTACAGCTGCGAATGGAGCGACTGCACAAGAAAGGGCATACCGCACGCCAGCGGGTACGCGCTCAGGGCGCATATGCGAAGCCACACGCGGGAAAAGCCGTTCTACTGCACATTACCAGGTATGTTCGACTATACACATCACCATGTGACTTGAACTGACACTGTACTAGAATGCGACCGCTCCTTCACCCGTTCAGACGCGCTGGCAAAGCACATGCGCACCGTCCACGAGACTGAGGCTCTGCGCCCATCCGACCCAGTGCCTAAGCATCACTCCTCGAACCCCTCCAACAACAAGCAGCGCATCCGGCTCATCCTCAATGCGGACGGCAAGAAGCCCGAGAAGGGCTCCACGCCAGCCTCCCCATCCTCACATTCACATCCTCCCAACAGCGCACCCATACCTCCGGCCTCCGATGCCGACTACGCCCACAACAACGTCATCTACCTGCAAGACCTCGCCAACCCAAACGCCCCCACCATGGTGCAATTCCCCCCCGACATCGACTTCACCGACCGCGAGCTCTCCCTGCCCGCACCCGCCCTCTTCGAGCTGCTGCGCCGCCAACTAAAATGGGCCCAGCAAGACAGCGACGATCTGCGCACCCAAGCCGACGTGCTCGAAAAGCAGCGCAAAGAAGAATGGGAAGCAAAAGAACTCCTCGTCGAAAACCTCATGGAGGCCGAAGTCTCTACTGAGCGCCGGAAACGCGCGGAGCGCGGCGAGAGAGAAGATGCGATACTAAATGCTGTGGAATACGACATCGAACCGTCGAGGAGATTGCCGATCAAGCCTAAGAATGGAAAATTACCGTGGTGGCGTGAAGACTATGAGCAACTGGATGTCAGACAATCCGCAGAAACGTCGCATCAGGAGGCACGACCCCCGCCGCTGGACATACGCCGCGACGACGCCGCCCAGCAGCAGCAGCGCGGTATTCAAGCTTAGCAAGCTCCTTGCGCAATAATACCTGCGCCCACTTGTTGCTCAGAACTAGGTCGTATACTCCTCCCCAACGGCCCGCCTCCGCCGCCGCCCAAAGCAAGGCCAAACAATGCGGACTGGCATAGTTATTACTTCCACAAGCGTGACTCAAAGATACCACTTTCCCCCGGCACAAACCCGTCGAAAGTCGTCGCCTTCTATGGGTACAATGAGCTGGGCTTATTTCAACTTCGCGCGCTGTGTGATCAACGCGGTATTGTATGGACTGCATGCAGGCCTCGGTGGAAGAACCCGCTGATACGTCATCTCATGGAGTATGGTAGGATGAGGGCTGAGGGTTAGAGCATGATGTCGGTGGGGCATTCATAGTACGAATCAAAGATATGGTTTTATTCAAAGCATCCTGTTTATAGGCTCGCTTGACTGCCTTCCAGCAGTCGTGTGTCCAACCAAGCTTCCGTGTGTCGCGCGCCTTCACAGCGCCTCTCATCAAGTTCCTCCGCCCGCTCATGCACGACCCAAGAATTTGCACCATCCCAAGCCCAAGCCTTGCCTGCTGTATCCGCCGCCCATATGCCATTCCAGCATCTACCTCCCCTTCCTCCTATCCGCCTCAGTATTCTTAAACGGGAACCCACTCGTCCTCTTATCCGCACCCGTCTTCCTGCTAATCTTGCCATTGCTGCTCGCAAACAAGATACACCAGAAAGCCACGGCGGCGAAGAAGGTCGAGCCCAGCGTGCCGAGGCTGAAGCTCACGACGCCCGTCTCGGTCCACATGGCGTAGCAGTAGAAGGCGTAGACGGCGTGGAAGATGGCGGTGATGGTGAGCGTCGGGAGCGCGTAGGGGGCTTTGGGGTCTGTGTTTTCGGTCGTGACGCCTGGGGTTGAGTTAGTGCTGTGTGGTGTTAGATGTTAAGGGGGGAGGCTGGAAACATACCTTCAGACAAGCGACTACTCAGCGGCACAGAGCCCGTGAGCAGCACGGTCAGCGCGCCGAGCGTGAGGAGCGTGAAGCCCAGCGTACGGGAGAAGTAGACCTCGAGAGCTGGATGGCGGGTTAGTTCTCAATCGGATGCTGGGGCGGTGGGTGGGCGACGTACTGGATGCCTCGCGCACTTCTGGGGACAGGAGGGCTACGATCATGGTGGGCGATGCGATGAGCGGCGCGGCTTGGGTTGCTGGTGCTTGTTAGCTATGAATACGTGTTGGGAGACTGGATTGACGTACCCAGCCATGCGGCTGTTCCATACGAGTAAAAGTAGTAGACCTGCAGAATCATCAGCTTCCCCTCATCATCCGAGCTGCGCGTCCAACAGAGTACATACATCCATGATGGGGTTGTAGAGTGTCAATTGATATGACAAGAAGGTGTATGTGTGTTTGAGGTGTGTGGTTGAGGAGATCGTGTGCTGTTGAGGTGTAAAGGTAGCTGTAAGCAGCGCCTAAGGCAAGGTGGTTCCTGAGAATTGGCAGGGGAGCTACGTCATGGTGAGCGATCATTCTCAAGCCGGCCGACGCGCCGCCTTTTGGGGAAGGCCCCGCCCACATCCGGATACGAAGAGGAAAGTTAGCCACGGACTTGGAACGCCGTGCAGTGGCGTCAGCGATCCCTGTTGTATGTGGCGCATATGACGAGCTTCATTATGTGGATGTTTGGAACACGCGTGTACATCGTCATTCCAGATCTGATAGCAGCGCACATGTTTCCCTTTACCTAGATGATAGTGGAGCCAAGGTCATCGCAATGTCTCTCACAGCTAAGGTTGGTGGCTTTCCCGTTGAGTGTAGAGACACACTCAGCCAAAGTATATAGCATTGTAGAGTCTGCACCGTAGGTGCAATTTGATCATCTGCAGCTCACTGCACCTTCTTTTCACCAGTCCTCTCCACCGCATCGAAATCCCTCAACACAGATCTAACAGGCCAAACGAACCCCTCTTCAATCCTTCCAGTCTTGCCCTCCTCAATAGTAACGAGATACTCAACGAGCGCCATACCAACATAGGCGCCAATCCCCGTGCAGATATGCCACCAACCGTGCAGCTCAAACAGGAAGCCCCATGGTAGACCGATGGACCGTTTGAAGGCAGTGACGTAGCTGCAAAGATGGAAGTCGATGTTCCATAGAAAGTACCCGAACAGGCCAGTCGCTGTACCATGTCAGCAAAGGCATCCCGATACAGCCAGGGACAAAAATGTGAACATACATATCCCAAACGTCGCCATACTCGCCAACCGCTTCCTCCTCTCCTCGCTCTTAACCTTCCTCTTAATCAGCGCCCTCACCCTCCTACTCACCAAGAAAACCATGCCCGCAAACACAACCTCATGCACATAAATCTCATCCGCCCACACATGATACACCGACACCGGAATCAGGACGCCCAGAATCGCTGCCGTGTACTTGCGGCGCTCCGCCACGCTAGCTTCGAAACACAGCAGTTGGTGCAGCAGCGATCCGACGGCAAGGAACATGCTCAAGTCATCCCCCATTTGCGAGTGGTACTTGAGAGTCGCGTGGAACCAGGCGGATAGTAGCCCGACGCCGATGAGACCGAAGTAGGGGAATGCGAGCGTGGAGAGAAGGCTGCCGTCGGGGCGAGTGCGCACGCGTAGGAGGCCGATGGTGCCATATATGACTTCGATTGAGTATTAAGACATGTGACGAATGGAGGCAATGGAAGACATGTACCGTATGTGATGTTCGTCAATGTATTCACGAATTCGCCAATGTATGGCGTAATGACATAGTCCTTCCATCATTCAGCCATGCACACCAATTACAAATATTCCTCTTCGAAATAATACATACCTCTTCACAAAAGCTACATCAAGTCAGCCAAGCTCAAACTCGTACATCTCGGCACAAACTCACTTGTGATTCGACGTCACCGGGCCCCATGCCCCGACTTTAGGGCCGCTTGGATATGGCCAGCGTAGTTGCATGTTGTCCTTGGTTTTCCTACGAAAGCAAATGTATGGAGCAGACAAGACGAAAAAGAGTGCAAAGTTTAGAATTCAGACGTGGCCAGAGCTTGGACATTTCGGAAACCGCGTGTCACGCTAGACGGAACGAGAAGACCACCAAAACAGGTGATCGTGAGTGCGAATAGCTGATGTCGCGAGGTATTGTGTCGGGTCGTCGGGTCTTTTGTGTAGAACAAAAAGCACATCTGCCAGCATGCGGGCATGCACAGGGGCATATCATCTACATCTTTCAAGAACACATGCAAAAATATACACCTCCGTAATCGCTAACACCACCCGAGAAGTCACAGGAGCAAAAATAGGGGTCTTGCCGCGACTCGAACGCGGGGCCTCTCGCAAGCAATGCTCGGGTAAACCCTAAGCGAGCTGATGTTCTGTTAGTGAAGGATCTCAAGGGGTAGCTTCATAGGGTTTTCTTACAATCATACCACTAGACCACAAGACCTGTGCTGTGAAGCTTGATGAAAGATTTGAAATTTGACTGCAATACAATGTTGACAATTCTGATAGACTAAAGCTACAATCCCTGGAGTTAATTTTGTGAGATGCTCCTGAGTCATCCTCGCGTGTGTGCAGGAACACATATACTAAGCGGGCGCTAATGCGCGGGGCACGAACGATGGCGTGGCAAGGGTGGAACTGTTGAGAGGGCTCAAGAGACTACCTCGACACCAAAGACTTGTGTTTGAAGTTGCAAGAGTTTTATTTTTTCGATATGGTGCAGCTTCTTTCGCACTAACAATGTAGACTTTATACCACAATGACGTGAAGACTTTCGCCCCTGCCATGCCGAATTAAGGACGACTGAATCGTCAATCTCGATGCTGACTGCGAACGCTCGAGAGTACGTTTCTTACACGCAGATGGTAGCTAGGTAAGTTTTACTACCGACTGTTCTGCACCTTGAATTGATTTCGTACAACCTGGCTTTCTGAGGTCGCATCAGTCTTCCGAGGTTCAGAAAGTCGCAGATCGTCAAATCAACGCTGCACCCAGCTCACGAATGGTTCTTCACATCATGCCCACATCCCAGATAATTTTCTCTACCCATGAACTCGGCTCGACTGCCCATTTGCGTAGCTATCGCTTCACCATCCTCTGATCGCTGGAACAAAGCGCAGTGGCTTCAGCAGACTAAGCAATAACTATCTGACATTGGCATGTCTGATCAAGCAACTAACGAAGATGCTGCGGCATCGGGGTCGGAAAGCGGAGCTATGGCTTCTGCGGAGAAGTTATCTACTGATGCTACAAAGACTTCGCTATTGGTATGTTTATCCCGTTAGCCTTTCTCAACATCTGATGGAGGCACTTCATTGTCTTCGACGCGCTCTACCTTGCTGAAATTATTTAATCTTGGTTACCTTACTTTGAGATGAGCGGGAAAACTATCGAGAAAACTGAAGTGCTGTTCAGCGACAACGGGCTGCGACTGTGGAGCACTAAGAAGGGCCAATCCCGTCTTACAGATAAAAAGGATGCTGTCGCTCCAGCGCAGGCAAATAACGAGGCGCGTGCAACCATCAAAAACGTCGTGCAGAACGACTTGGAAATGCACAATGTGACAAAGATGGAGGGTGTGTAAGAAACAATCCTTTGTGATAGGGAAGTGGTATTGACTGGCATTGACCGATCACAAATGATACAATGAAGTGCTAATTCCAACATCGCAAACTCACAATGTCGGGCCACTCCAACGAACACATTTATTCACTAAAACGCATCTTGAACCCATCCACTCAATATTCATATCCAAGCAACACACCACCCATTTCATGTCCATGCAACACACCACGCCCTTCACATTCCCGCGCCACCATCACCCCCATCCTACCCAAAACCACCACTCCCCCCTCTCTCCCCCACCCACACCCCACAATGTGCCACTACACCCTCACCCTCTGCCCAACATGCCACACCCTCATATCCCGCCGCCCAACCAACTGCGGCAAAGGCCTCGCCATCCTGGGCCCCTCAGGCCTAACAATCGAGTGCCCCGACTACACCACCAGCGCCATTCCCCAAGTCATCAACGAGACACAGGAGTGCGAGACATGTATCAGGGAAGCGGTGTATGATGGCCGGCGAGCGAGTCGGTGGGATGAGTTTTTGGGGTGGAGGAGGAAAAGGGAGGGGGAGTGGGATTTGTGAAGTATTGAGGGGTGTGTGTATGATGGAAATTTTAGTGCTTGTTGGATGGTACATATATGAATCGAACGGCGCTCTCACAAGATGCGATACGACGAAGAAGTGATGTCGTTGCTGCTTAACAGTTCATTCCGTGACATTAGAGCCTGAAGATTTTCACATGATTCCAGGCCTCGCGCGGGGTTTCTGGTAGTGCTGCGCATACAGACAGGCTCGGGGTGCGAAAGCAGAACTGTTGTTGCTCGAGTGCTGGCTATTGCCATGTCGGATAATGTAGGTCCATTGTACGCCGCCACAAAAGCCGTGGCTATGGAAATGATGCTAGAAAGCAGTGATATGCAAGTAAATTATGAGTGGTGGTGCAGTAATGCAACTATGCGTCTACTAATTAGACAAAATCCATACGTACATTATAAGCGCAATGCAATACAAGTTTTGGGTATCTCTAGAACACAAACATCCGAACCTTTTCTAATACACCTCGTCTTCCACGCTACAAGTTCACCGGGTACCTCTCGCGAATGACTTTGCCGTACTTGAACAGCAGTGCCGGAACGGGGATAAACGCCACGGCGATGAAGCCTAGCATGCTATTTCCCCACCCAAGACCCAGCGTCTCGTACATCGAGGGTCCAGCAAGCGGGAGTAGAGCGCCGAACAAGCAACGTAGGACAGTCATGCCTGCGATGGCGGAGGCGGCGAATTGCGGGAAGCAGTCGATCATGTAGGTTTGGAGCGGTGCGAATATACCCATGAGGCCGAGACCGAAGGGGATGAGTGCGATGATAGGTCCGATCCAATGAACGCGGTAAAATGTGAGCCAGCCGTATCTGCAAGAGAGTCAGTATACTATGACCAAGTTGACCATATGTGGAAAAGTTGGACTTACATGAACAGCGAAATCGGGATTAACAGGCCAAAGAAGACGCAAAGAGGTAGGCGCATCTCCGGCTCATACACGCCCTTATTCTTCTTCGCCAGGCGGATAATAGTCGCGTCAGATGTTCGTGCCACAATGGCGATGCCCATGAAGTTGCCGATGCCGATGCCGAGATAAGCCAAACCCGTCAATTCAGGTGACCATCCGTATGTCTGGATAAAGACTGGTGTGATTGTAGTGAAGAGCAGGATGAGCAAGCCGAAGAGGAATGATACGTAGAGCGAACAGAAAAGCACGATAGGCGAAGTCGTGAGCATCCTCATCGGACGAACGATGCCGTGCTTCAGGATCTGGAATTGGCTGCGCGCTGCCGCATCCTTGTTGTAAGTCATAATATTTTGAAGTTCAGGGCGGCCGAGCTCTTTGCGAAGTTTGTTCGTCTTGCGCTGGAGGAGGACGGGATGGTATGTTTCGGAGTTGAAGAAGATGAGTCCGACGGTGAGCAGGACTCCGGCAATGAAACACACCCACATGTCCCATCGCCACCCAGCGCGTTGAGCAACGAAGCCCCCACAAATGGGACCTAGGATGGGGCCGAACAAGATACCCACCGAATACATGGCAACTGCTTTACCACGCTCTTGCGGCACAAACATATCAGCGATGACACCCGTGCCAATCGTAAGACAAGCAGAGCCGCCGAGTCCAGCGAAGAACCGCATAGTAATCAAGCCTCCCAGATTTGGAGCCAACGCGCATCCCAGCGTAAAGGCGCAGAAAAACACGTTGGATACATTCAGAACTATGCAACGACCGTAGATCTCGGAGAGCGGGCTCAGAAACAGTGGGCCTACGGCGAAGCCAAGGAGATACACGCTGACGGCAAATGCTCCGAGGAGGAGCGACGTGTTGTTGAAGTCTGCGTTGACGAAGGGAATGCCCGGGGCGAAGATGGAGGAGGCAAGGGGACTCAGGAACGTGATGGCGGCGACCATGCCGAGAGTTGTCCATTTCTTGCGCTGTGGGAAGTTTCGCGGATTCGTTGGGTCGTCTTGGTGGTCCCATCCAACTAAGTCGTTGTCGAGATCTGAGAGCGGGTACTTCTCTGGTGGCAGTTGGTCTTTCTTCGTACTCTTTCTTGACAGGTGTTTCTCGAGGTCTGTGCCGATCTCCTCTTCAGCTTGTCGTGCGTCCTGGGATGTATGTCAGTATCACGTGATTGCGTGACGGTTGGGCGCAAGCGTACACCATCTTGGATAATCTCTTCGTCTTCCTTCTCAGGCCTCGCCTCGCCCTTCTCAAGATCTGGGATGTTTGTTCTCGAACTGCTCCTCGAATGCCGACCCTGGTCGTATACGGTCGTCATCGTGTTGATTTGTTACAGGTTCCGCTTGTCGTTTTATAAGTGCTCCAGTCAAGTTGTTAAAGATCTTAGCCTTGCCACTATTGTTTGGCGAATTGTTGAACCTGGTAGAAGCGATGTCAAAACCCGAAAACCTGGGCAGACGCAAACATAATAAAAGGGTGCGTCGTCGGAGCGGCAGTTGACCCGCGCCTGTAGGCGGACATCAAACGGAGGGTCTGGCCACTATCTCCGCTGGTGACTAGGCTGTTTCGAGGTGTGGCAGCTCGGTGCACGGCGTTTACGAAAGCGCGAGATGGGCACGGCCGGGTCGTGTTCCCCTCATCTCGTGAGTCGAACTTCAAAATGTTCGTGTCGGATACTCGTGCAAGGATGAGCTGATCCGGTGTGCACGCAACGCTCTGGGTAGAATGGACCGCAGTATCATGGCGAAGCTTGTTCTCACTATGCTGACTGCATGTGGATGCATTTGCGTCCACAATCCATCCAGGGTTGTAAGATCGAACCAATGCCATGTCAGATCCTCTCGCATCGGGATCTCGTGACCCTGCGTCACATTCGATGTACGAAGGCGATTGTACGAATACCCGAGTCACCGTCCGAGCTCTTGTACATACCCTTGGAGAAAAGACCGATGGAAAACAGCAATGAGAGTGATGAGAAATGCACAACACCTAGCCTTTACGTACGAATAGTTTTTTTTCGTACATCATTACAAATGCTGCCCTCGCACATCAGATGTAGAGGACCGAGACGCCGCATTGGAGCTACGGCCGCATCGTATACTCGGACCTCGTTGTGCGATCCGGTCATGGTCGGTACGAAGGAGTACTAAGTGAGAGGCAGAGCGCTCTTTCATGTATGGTATGAAGTCGCTTTCAGGTTACGAGGTAGGTGGCACCGAAGAAGGTGTGGCGCTTGGGTGGCCGCATGTTCCACTGTGGCTGTTACCGTTGCCGGCGCCAGCATGCACAAGAAAGAGAGGGCCGTTGAGTTAGAAAAGTAAGCGATCAACATGGTGATCGGAGTATTTCATTTCATTTTGGAGCGCCGG